ACCCCCTTCCTCGCACACACATAATATTGTTTTTTTGGGGCCCGGGCGGGATCCTGTTTCTCATGCAAAATCATGTGTCACCACGCCCCTGATGCCGCTGTCCGGACAATATTTATTTCATAGCACACTGCATGGTGTATGTCCGTCTTCATTAGCCCAGCAGAAACGTAGGACGTTAAACCCAAATTGATGTATATACACAATGTATTTCTTATAAACCAATATAAAATAATATAATTTATTGACAAGAACAAACGTAAAACAAAAGAAAATAGGAATCGGGTTAAATTATATTACGTATATTATTTAAGACCAATAAATGAATATAAAATTAAACAATTATAAAGAAAAGAAAAAAACAACAAATATAAATCGGGTTAAAAGATATACAAAGATCAAATAAAATAGCATAGTGATATAAGTATATTCCTGTATCGAGCTGATTAACATAGTGATATAAATATATTCCTGTATCGAGATGATTAACCATATCGACGAAAGCCTACTGTTGGATTATCATGATACTTATATTATCTTCCTGTATCTACTGTCGTTAATACTCCTGAATTTTTATGATGATTAATTATACATGCACATGTATACTGAATCCATGGGTGGACATGATAAATACTATTACATTCATGCATTATCATGATAATTATATTACATCCATGGATGAAAAGAATATATCCAATTGAATTCGTGGATTTATTAATACTTCACATGAACCATGTTTAATTTTAGTGGATTTAATTTCATTATTTTTTATATATTTTAGTGTAATTTTGTCTGATATCAGTAAAATTGAAATCATCCCTATAAGGCCGTACTGGAACTGGTGGCCTTTGAAGATTTTGATGTTGTACTCCTGGTTTTGCAGGACCAGAAACGTTGTTTCCAGTAATCTCTGACTTGTTTATCTCTGGCAGTGAATAAGATAAATATCAGAAAGCCCTGTAGAGAGTTGAGTACTGTGAAGATATACTGAAACACCAGACGAGCATCTGATATGGCGAGAAATCCAAACACCCAGGTTAATCCTAAAATATAACAGATAGGAATATAGTTGTTGTTGTTGTTCAATGGAAGTAGTTTAAATGTAGAAACTCTACAGGCACATACAACAATCGATGGATCTGGTCAAATACATTCGACGTTTGTGAGATAATTTATTTATCGTCATCAAGGGCATCAAACGTATGTTGCTTTACAGTAACAGATGGGCAACAGTAAAACATAAGGTTTGGTGGACCCAGTAACATGTTTTATGGATTGGGACAAGACAATATTTTAAACCTAAATCTTACTTGACGCACTCGACAATGTCAGGTGTTGTGCACATGCTTATATAACACCGGAACTTGTTAAAATTCTCATTTTAGCGCATTATAATCCTTTGCAAACATAGACTTAAACATTGCCAACAATGTCAGAGAGAGTATATAGGATAATTAAACTCAATCCTTGATTCTATTCCGCTTGATACAGCATTTCTTTAAAACAAAACATTGTCCACTGTTCTGTGGTTTTCTCTAAAACCACACTGAGCTGCGTCAATAAGGCTGTGTGCTTCCAGATAATCGGTTACACGTTTATTTATTATGGAGAGAAAACATTTGCTTAGGCAACTCGCAAGGGCAATACCCCTACAGTTGTTTGTGTCAAGTTTGTCTCCTTTTTTATAAATTGGTATGATAAAAGATTCACCCCATGAGTGGGGGAATGTACCTGACTTAAGTATTAGATTAAAGAGTTTAAGAAACTGGTCAATCATATATTCATTAGATGTAATTAGCATTTCATTCAAAATTAGGTCTGGGCCATTGGCTTTTTTTCTTTAATTTTTTTTTTAAAGCTGTGTGTATCTCTTCAGTAGATACTTGATTTATTTTATAATTTATTAAAGTAGAGGAGTTTATGAGCATTTTGATATTCATGTCTATGTTATCGTTGTTAATGCTTGTTTTCTCAGGTGTTTTTTGTTGGAATAATTTTGAAAAATGGTTTTCCCATGTTTTCAGCGGAATATCATTAGTTTCTTTACTTTTACTGTCATCTTGAAGAAGTGAATTTACTAATTTCCAATACTCACGTGGGTTGTTCGTTTGTAGATCATTTAGTTTATCTAATATTGCGGTTTTGGCTTGTTTACTTTTAAATTTTATAGTCTTTTTATATATTTTTTTACGTTCCGAAGATATTTTACGTAGAAATTTATTCTGGGGGTCATTATTCAACTGATGTTGCGCGCTTAACATGTCACGCTTTAATCTAGAACTGGCTAAACACGTTCCAAATATTATTTTATCACAGAGATCATTGCTACGATAGATGCGTAATCAATGCTTGAACAATCGGAAGTGATGAACGCAAAAGGAAAACACAAGTTATCCCTCTATATAAATCACTGAAGTGACGAATGATAACAGATACAGGGGCGAATTTCTGCTCACTAATAATTCTTTCGAAGACCAAAATAATAGTTGGAACATGTTTAACCAGTTCTATCACATATGTGATAATGACTGGCACCAATATTGTCCTTTAATATTCAACATACTTATACATTAAAAATATATCTTTGGATCTGATAGTATCACCTCATATTTCATTGAATCTTGAATTTAATTTTTAATATATTTCCTATTTCCTTGTATCTTGTTAAAATGGAACTGCTGAAATTATTGATAAAGAGTACACAGTCACAAGGAAAAGAATCCCCAGTCACTGGGAATACAGTACGGATAGAACTGACAAGTGCATTGATGACAAGGTAGAATGAAAAACTGAGTGTTGCGAATAATCAATTATCTTATTAAGATGTACATAGTTTAAATTGTATTAATTAAAATATTACAATGTGTAGTCATTTTAATTTGTACTGAATAGAATTGGTAGAGTTTATACTGACTAAAACCTAACTAATACAATGGGTACTGACATACAACAAATGTTGATAGATATGTCAATACAATAAGTAAAGACTAGAACACTTGATGTACAGAGATTTGTTATACCAACACTTGATGTACAGAGATTTGTTATACAAATTAATGTAAAATAGAAAACAATGTGGTAAATGATGAGATGTTGGTATAAATCTCTCTACATCAAGTCTATAAAAAACACAAACACAACAATTAGGACGCAAATTTGATGACTTCATTAATAGCACTTTGTTGTTTTTTAAACAAAATAAACAAGTTTCAGATTTTAAATCTATTATTAAACAAAATTGGAAAAGTTTCCGTTTTAAATCCATTATTTTAACAAATAAGAAAACAAATACAAATAAATTGGTCGTTAATAATTCTCAGATGATGAATAAAATAATAGTTCTCGAGGAGAAAAACATATCAATAAATCAAGTCTTAAAATATATCATATATATATTTATAAAACTTACAGATATCATAATAGTAAACTATCATGTTGCCATGACTACAGTGTGGATTAAACAATTTCAATATAACAAAAACAAAAACAAATAAATAAAAAAATGTCAGGTAAAAGATAGGTTGCCATGTAATGAAACATACACCCCCAGCAGCTGAATTGTACGGGAAGTCAACAAAAGAGAGAGAGAGAGAAATGGGGTTTAACATCCACTCGACACAAACTAGGTCATTTCAGGACAAACATATGGTTTAATTTTATTTCAATAATTTGCTTGCGCGTAGGGGTCTTTAGCAGTGGGACCCAGAGAAAACCCACGAGATTGGACAGGCGACCCTATAGTTACTCCTTGTCACGTACAACCGGAGATTCGAAACCATGCCGGTTGACTCAATGACAGGCCGTATGTTAAAGCACGCACATGCTAACCATTTGGCCATCCAACCCCCCCTAGTCAACAAAAGAGTTGTCAGTAATTAAACTTTTACAACACATGAAAATATTATACCAGTAACATCCCATTAAGTAATTATCAGAAATCATAAACATGAGAGAATGAGACCCTATATCATAGGAATATAATTATAATACTATAATACCTCGCACAATAACATTTGTGGAAAATTTGTTTTAGTAAATGATTGATTTATTCTGAAAATTTGGGTGACAAAGAAAATTTTCTAGCAAATAGTCTCAGACCCTCCTCCCCCCACCACACAACTGAGATTGGCCCCCTACACCTATGACTTTAGGCCTCTAGAGCGTCCACAAGATATTTCAAAGTGATCAGGGGGCCAAAACTCTGGCAATAATTATTGCAAATCAATAGGATTATTCGTTTCATGGCCTTAATTAATGTGTATAAATTTAAAGTCAATCGGATGTTAACTTTAGTCTCTAGATCACTTACAAGATATTTCAAAGTGATCACGGACCATAACTCTGACAGTAACAAGTAAACAGTGAGGCTGATGTCCCCCGCCGAAATACCAAAATAAATAGATGACAATTATTGGGGGAAAATTATTGGAAATTGCTGAAAATCAATAGGCTTCTTTATCTCATGACCTTAAACACTGTGTATAAATTTAAAGTGAAATGAAATGAAATGGGGTTTAACGTCCTACTGTTCTGCTCCTAACCTGGGCTAATGAAGATGGGCATACGCCATACAGTGTGCTATGAGGGAAATTTTGCCTGGACAGTGGCACTACGGCCTACTCTTATATCGAATTCCAACTGTCAAGGGATCTTTTATGTGCACGCTAATGTGTACACGGGACCTCGGTTTTTCGTCTCATCCAAATGACTAGACAGCTGTCCTTGTCAGGCCCTCCGTCCTGCATCACTGACAAGGGGGAACCACGCCGGAAAATCGGGATGAACTTTCTCGGCCAATGCAGGGATCAAACACCCGACCACCAGGCTAGCGAGCCAGCGCCTTACCCACTTAGCCACCGTGACCCCCTAAATTTAAAGTCAATCGGATATTAACTTATAGAGTGTCTACAGGATTTTTCAAAGTGAAACTCTGGCAGTAATTATGGACATCTGACCGACGGGGATGACAACAATATACGACCAAATTTAAATATGGACGTATAAAAATCAAGCACTTTACTTTATTTTGATATACACCAAATCGCAATCTATCTATCTGCCCTCTATAGACATCTTCAGGTGTTAATAATATATCTACATATGACACTATATATGACAATATATATACAATGGATTAACCATGAATGTCTTAAACATACATTATATGAGATTAGATAAAGAACTGGCAGTTCTCACTATAATAGTTAAAGATAGGTTGCCAGGCAACGAAACATACGCCCACAGCAGCTATATCGTCCGGGCAGTCAACAAGAGTTGTCGCATATTTTTACTTTTTTCGGTAATGAAACATATATAATACATTAAAATCTGATTAAGAGTAACAACTCATTAAGTAATTATCAGAAAACCATTAGTTCTGCCCCATGATAACGTTTGGTATACGAAACTTTTAACATCATGCATTTAGCTGTTCAAGTCATAAAGATTCATTGAAAATCAATATACTTGTTTGTCTCAAGACCTTAAACTCTGTGTATCAATCTGAAGTCAATCAGATGATAACTTTAGTCTCTAGAGCGTCACAAGATTTTTCAAAGTGATCAAGGGCCATAACTTGATCACTTTGAAAATCAATATGATTCTTCAGCTCATGGCCTCAAACACTGTGTATAAATTTAAAGTCAATCGAATATTAACTTTAGCCTCTAGAGCATCCACAAGATTTTTCTCAAGACCTTAAACACTGTGTATAAATTTAAAGTCAATCGGATATTAACTTTGACCTCTAGAGTGTCCACAAGATTTTTCAAAGTGATCAAGGGCCATAACTCTGGCAAAAATTATCAGAAATCGCTGAAAATCAATAGGCTTCTTCGTCTCATGGTCTTAAACACTGTGTATAAATTTAAAGTCAATCTGATATTAACTTTGGCCTCTAAGGCGTCCACAAGATTTTTTGAAGTGATCAAGGGCCATAACTCTGGCAGTAATTATCGGAAATCGCTGAAAATCAATAGAATTCTTCATCTAATGACCTTAAACACTGTGTATAAATTTGAAGTCAATCGGATATTAACTTTGACCTCTAGAGTGTCCACAAGATTTTTCAAAGTGATCAAGGGCCATAACTCTGGCAAAAATTATCAGAAATCGCTGAAAATCAATAGGCTTCTTCGTCTCATGGTCTTAAACACTGTGTATAAATTTAAAGTAAATCTGATATTAACTTTGGCCTCTAAGGTGTCCACAAGATTTTTTGAAGTGATCAAGGGCCATAACTCTGGCAGTAATTATCGGAAATTGCTGAAAATCAATAGTCTTCTTCGTCTCATGGCCTTAAACACTGTATATAAATTTAAAGTCAATCGGATATTAACTTTGGCCTCTAGAGCGTCCACAAGATTTTTTGAAGTGATCAAGGGCCATAACTTTGGCAGTAATTATCGGAAATTGCTGAAAATCAATAGGATTCTTCGTCTCATGGCCTTAAACACTGTGTATAAATTTAAATTCAATCGGATATTAACTTTGGCCCCTAGAATGTCCACAAGATTTTTTGAAGTGATCAAGGGCCATAACTCTGGCAGTAATTATCGGAAATCGTTGAAAATCAATAGCCTTCTTCGTCTCATGGTCTTAAACACTGTATGTAGATTTAAAGTCAATCGGATATTAACTTTGGCCTCTAGAGCGTCCACAAGATTTTTCAAAGTGATCAAGGGCCATAACTCTGGCAGTAATTATCGGAAATCAGTGAAAATCAATAGGTTTCTTCGTCGCATGACCTTAAACACTGTGTATAAATTTAAAGTCAATCGGATATTAACTTTGGCCTCTAGAGCATCCACAAGATTTTTTGAAGTAATCAAGGGCCATAACTTTGGCAGTAATTATCAGAAATCGCTGAAAATCAATAGGCTTCTTCGTTTCATGGCCTTAAACACTGTGTATAAATTTAAAAGTCAATCGGATATTAACTTTGGCCTCCAGAGCGTCCACAAGATTTTTTGAAGTGATCAAGGGCCATAACTCTGGCAGTAATTATCGGAAATCGCTGAAAATCAATATGCTTCTTCGTCTCATGGCCTTAAACACTGTGTATAAATTTAAAGTCAATCTGATATTAACTTTGGCCTCTAGAACGTCCACAACATTTTTTGAAGTGATCAAGGGCCATAACTTTGGCAGTAATTATCGGAAATCGCTGAAAATCAATAGGCTTCTTCGTCTCATGGCCTTAAACACTGTGTATAAATTTAAAGTCAATCGGATATTAACTTTGGCCTCTAGAACGTCCACAACAATTTTTTAAGTGATCAAGGGCCATAACTTTGGCAGTAATTATCGGAAATCGCTGAAAATCAATAGGCTTCTTCGTCTCATGGCCTTAAACACTGTGTATAAATTTAAAGTCAATCGGATATTAACTTGTGGACGCCGGACCGCCGGACGGATGGGGGCGACGACAATATACGACCACATTTCAATGTGGGCGTATAAAAACTAGATAATGTAAAGGCAATTTGCTGACAATTTCAGTCAAAGTGATCCACTCTGAACCGAGATTTTAGTGATTGAATTTTCGGACTAGCCTCGATCATCATTACTAAAGTCGGTACGATAAAAAAAAATTGGTCTCAATTATCCATTTCATGATTAAATCATCAATGGAAGTCGAACAGCAAATCGGAACCTAATCCAATAACCATCGCAGACTAGCGATGACATCGAGAGTTGATTATGATCTGGATAAGTTAATAGATGTCTAATTGATAATTTAGATACCATTTCAGGCCTAAAGTAAGACCTGTAATAGGCAGATTTAGCTCTTGCATAATGTATGTTATTTGTTTATTTGACTGATTTAATAAAACAATAAACATCAATTTGTTTTAATAAAATTTTTGTTTTGGGCATGATTGTAAATCTGACTTTTTGTCTCATTAAGAAAAAGAAATAGCAAGATAAATATTATTTTTAGATCATATTAAATATGATTATTACACATAATATATTATATATATATATATATGTATATTCAAATAAATAAAGTTCAAATACTTGTATGTTTACGGTAGATAAATGCATAAATAAATAAAAAATACATCCAGGTAAAAAATTCTCCACTTTACTTCATTTTGACATACATTAAATCATAAAAAAACTAGCTTATAGACATATGGCACAATAATATGAAAATTGAGCTTTCAGCGTGAATGTTTTAATTGTTTAATTTGATTGATATAATAAAACAATACATGCTTCCATATATAATTTATTCAAAATGTTGTTAAATATTTTCAATGACTGAATACTGCGGAAGAAGAGCTCTCAAAAATCATCAATAGCTACCCTGACAGGTATTATAATCTATATTGAAACTTGCAGCAGGTTGAGGGTATTATAATCACTTGTTAATATATTGAAACTTGAAGCAGGATAAGTAAACACCGGGTACATTGATTGGTATTGTTAATATATTGGAACTTAAAGCAAGAAAAGGCAAGATAACTCACTTAGGCCTAAATTATGCATAATGATTAAATAAGAGTTATAAAAACTTTAAAAAAAAACAAAAAACCAACAAATACTTCTTGGAAATAAATTTAACTAATTTTATATAAAAAAAATTAACAAGAATATTTTGTACATAAAAATGTGAAAAAAGGTACAAATTATTAACAAATGTCATCATAAAGATTATTAAATAAAGCATTAAATAATAATTTTAATTGTTTAATTTGTGTTTCGCTTTACTTCATAAATAATCATAAACAATCATAAATAAATACATGACGTACAGGTCTATTAAAAAGATTAGGCTGTGGTCGTGGTTATTTCATTTTTTGTTTTACTGATAAATATCCAGGTAAAAATTTGGAATTAAAAGCTTTTGAGAAAAGCAATTAAACATTATTTGCTTGTAAATTTTTTTTTTTGAAGCACCATTTAAACAGGTTTAAAGGCAGGATACGTCCACATTTTGCAAGAGATGGATAGAGAACAAGCTAAAAACAAACAGGATTTTTTGTACAATCAAGAGCAATAATCCAGACAGTTATGGTCTGAAATGCGCAAATATCAAAAGGGACTGAGATCTTTGGGATATAAAGATATGTTTAGTTTCATCAGAATCGGACAAAAATTGTGACCTGTAGAGAGTTGACAACCTTCGTATTGCATACTTTTACACAATTTGTGTACAAAGAGCGGCCATTTTGTTGGGCAGGTTCATTTCGATTTTCCCGAAATTCGAATTCAACCTTCATTATGGTGGTGAAATATTTGAACGTTATTTAAAATCGGAAAAAAAATTGTGACCTCTAGAGAATCCGCAAGCTGAAAATGCCACTTTTCAAACAATCAGGGGCCATTATCCAGGAAGTTAAGTTCAGGTATCCGCGATTATCAAAAGGATCCAAGATCTTCGTGTGTAATGGTGATATATTCACACATTTTTTTTAAATCAGATAAAAATTGTGACCTCTACAGGGATCACAAGCTAAAAACATGATTTTTTTGTTCAATCAAGGGCCATAATTCAGGACGTTACGATTCGATATGCACGGATATCGAAAGCAATCTTTGGGTTATAAACTTACATTTCAAGTTTCATCAAAATCAGAAGAAAATTGTGACCTCTAGAGGGTCCACAACATTGATATACCATATTTTTACGCTAATTGTGTACGAGGGGTGGCCATTTTGTCCGGCAGTTTTGGTCTGATTTTCATAAAATTCGAACTCAGCCAGAAATACCGTGTAACAGTGATATATTTGAACGTTTTTTTTAAAAACGCGGTTTTTCGTACAATCAGGGGCCATAATTCAGGAAGTAAGTTACTATGAGCGATTATCGAAAGGAACCAAGATCTTTGAGTTATAAACTTATATTTCAAGTTTCATCAATATCAAAAGAAAATTGTAACCTCTAGAGGGTCCACAACATCTTTTTATGCTATTTGAGTACGAGGGGTGGCCATTTTGTCTGTCAGTTTAGGTCCGATTTTCATGAAATTCTAACTCAGCCGTCCTTAGGGTGTAACGGTGATATAATAATACGGTTTTTTAAATGGGATAAAAATTATGACCTCTATAGGGTCCACAAGCTAAAAATGCGATTTTTCGGACAATTAGGGCCATAATTCAGGAAGTTACGGTTCGTAATGCACGAATATCGACAGGAACCGAGATCTTTGGGTTATAAACTTACATTTCAAGTTTCAACAAAATCGGATAAAAATTGTGACCTCTATAGGGTCCAGAACCTTGATACAGCATATTTTTACGCCATTTGAGAACGAGGGCCGGCCATTTTGTCTGTCAGTTTTGGGCCGATTTTCACGAAATTCGAACTCAACCATCCTTAGGATGTAACGGTGAAATACTACAACGGTTTGTTAAATCAGATAAAAATTATGACCTCTATAGGGTCCACAAGCTAAAAACGCGATTTTTCGTACAATCAGGGGCCATGATTCAGGAAGTTACGGTCCGATATTCTCGAATATAAACTTACATTTCAAGTTTCAACAAAATCGGATAAAAATTGTGACCTCTATAGGTTCCACAAGCTAAAAACATGATTTTTTCGTACAATCGGGGGCCATAATCCATGAAGTTTCGATCCGATACATGCCAATATGTAAAGCGACCAAGATCTTTTGGAGATAAACCTATATTTCAAGTTTCGTCAAAATCGGATAAGAATTGTGACATGTAGAGTGTCCAAAATCAATTGTGGACGGACGGTTTGACAGGGGCGACGACAATATATACGTCCACATGAAAATGTGGGCGTATAAAAATTAGTGCAGACATACTGACAACATATAGACAGTTTAAAGTCCAACCTATCAACATGTAGATAGGAAGAAAGAGACATGACATGACACAGCAACCATGGTGTTATGATGGTATCTAATGAACTGTTCAATCATTCAAGTTTGTACTGTATTGTAACGTACTGTAAATATAAGAAATAATTCTGCTGTAGGTCTGTAGTGTTGTTTTATAATAATTTAAAATTCCAGTAAAAAGAAAATGTTGAATTAAAATTCAATGTTTAAATGAAATAAAATGGGGTTTAATGTCCTACTGTTCTGTTCAAAGTTTAAAGTAATATGTCTGATATTCATCCAACCAAACAGAAAGGATTAATCGGGCAAAAGCGTTTTCTTCTAAATTCAGATAAAAATTTGTTATTAAAACAAATTAATTTTTGAAATTTATTTCAAGTTTTCTTTTATGCGGAATATGGCAGCTAGACTCTATTTAAATAATGCCAGTTTGTCTAAATGTAAATTATTCTGCTATGTCTTTAATTTCTTCATATGATGAAAACTACTTGTTCATCTTTCAGTCATTTCAGTTTCTAGAAAAAAATAGAAAAAACAGATTCATACACAAAACAACTCACTTGCACATATGGCTCTTTATATAGTGGGTATAACTGGAGAAGAACCACATGGCTGGACCAGCTAACCTTCTCCTTGTCTTGTAAAAGCTTGGCAAAGATATCACAGCACTTACCTCAATCACAGACCGTAAGATATAAAGTTCTTGACTACAATCCCCGCCCCCTGGGTGTAAGCCTTCTGCTCCTTGTCTTGTATGACCCCCCCCCCCTCCACTGTCCGGAGCCTTTTGTATCATGAGATTTTTATCAGGCCCTGTTTTATAAACCCACCAGTTGTAGTAAAGTTTTCTGTGCTAGAACTATAAAACCAAGCCAGCTATAAATATACCATCAATATTAATATTACTGTCCTGTATCATCACACACTTACATTCCATCAGGCTGAATGTACAAAGGGACATAACTCTGAATTGTGATGCAAATCAAACTTATACTGCAATGAATACTATTGCCAAAGTTTTAATAATTTAAGCCAGAACTGTCCTTTCTTCGAGACTTAGAGGAAATATAACCCTACAAGTTGCGATATGGTTCTTCCCTGTGGTCAGAGACAAAATGCCGTAAATAGTAAGACAAGCGGTTGCCATGCAAGATACGCCCACATTTTGCAAGAGATGGACAGAGAACAAGCTCAAAAAAAGAGGTGATTTTTCGTACAATCAGGAGCAATAATTCAGGAAGTTATAATTCGATATGCACGAATATCGAAAGTAACCAAGATCTTTGGGTTATAAACTTACATTTCAAGTTCCATCAAAATCAGAAGAAAATTGTGACCTCTAGAGAGTCCACAACCTTTGATATATCATATTTTTACGCTATTTGGGAACGATATATTAAAACGTTTTTTTAAATCGAATAAAAATTATGACCTCTATAGCGTCCACAAGCTAAAAACGCGATTTTTCGTACAATCAGGGGCCATAATTCAGGAAGTTACAGTCTGATATACGCGAATATCGAAAGGAACCAAGATCTTTGGGTTATAAACTTACATTTCAAGTTTCAACAAAATCGGATAAAAATTGTGACCTCTATAGGGTCCACAACCTTGATATATCTTTACGCTATTTGAGAACGAACGGCGGCCATTTTGTCTGTCAATTTTGGGCAGATTTTCACGAAATTCGAACTCAGCCGTCCTTAGAGTGTGTAACGGAGATATAATAATACGTTTTTTTAAATCGGATAAAAATTATGACCTCTATAGGGTCCACAAGCTAAAAACGTGATTTTTCGTACAATCAGGGGCCATAATTCAAGAAGTTACGGTCTGATATAAGCGAATATCGACAGGAACCAAGATCTTTGGGTTATAAACTTACATTTCACGTTTCAACTAAATCGGATAAAAATTGTGACCTCTACAGTGTTCACAAGCTAAAAACGCGGTTTTCGTACAATCAGGGGCCATAATCCATGAAGTTACGGTCCGATACATGTCAATATCGAACCTATATAAATAAACCTATATTTCAATTTTCGTTGAAATCGGATAAGAATTGTGACCTGTAGAGTGTTCACAAGCAATTGTGGACGGACGGACAGGGGGGACGACAATATACGTCCACATGAAAATGTGGGCGTATAATAAAACTAATACTTACATTAACAAGCGGCTCTCATAACTAGAATTGTTATTATAAATACAGCGAGCATACAGCCGATATTGATACCAACTATTCCACCAACTGATATACCATTATCTAAAATTACAAGAAATATGGTTTAATATTTATTCTACACAACTAGGTTATTTAGAGATCATTTTGGGACTAACACATAAGGTAAATATATATTATACCATTTGACCTAACTACCCACCATTGATAAAACATATACCATTCACCACCCTCCATTGATAAAACATTCTGATCAGGCTCTGAATCTGGGTGACAGTAATTTACATTATAATATTATTGAGACCTGATACATTATATTTTATACTATAGCTATCTTGACGATCTGACCTGATATACAGACTAAAATTTAAACAAATCCTAAATAACCTGCTCACGAGTTCACAAAGCATTCTCACACCAAAGTTAAGAATTTACTCAACTTTCAATCTCTGTTTTTGAGAAATATCTTTGATCCAGAAACACAAAACTTTGCACATAGTTTCTTATTGATGTATTTGATACATTAAAACAACCAACGTTTTATAAAGGGCTATACTTTTGTTAAAATAAGACAAACAACTTGAGTCTGAGTATGTTTTGTGAACATGGGCCTGTATTTGCGAACCAATCAACAAAACTCTTGACATTAGAATTGTTTGATAGTCTTGATCATTCCAGTCCATACTGTTTCCGTTTCGACTACGACAAATATTCTGTCGAAAATTATAAAATAGATGAAAGTATCGTCCATAAAAACAGGATGATTTCTTGTATTTTATAATTTTAATACAATCAGAGACAATTCTAATATTTACGTTAGGAAAGAGGTAACTCTCTCTCTCTTCACAGTAAAGGTGTTAATACTTACTACATGCTGGGGAAGATCCAGCAGCAAGAATTCCAGATGCAACAGCAAAAATAACCATGACAACAATCTTGAACTGGGTAGCAAGATCTGTGAAATGGGAGTATAAAAAATCATTACCATGGAAATTGTTCAAATAGGACAATATATAAATTTCAAGCAGATCAGATGATAACTTTTGTTGTAGAACCATCTGCAAGATTGTGCAAAGTAATCAAGAGCAATAACTCTAGCAGTGATTTATCAGAAATCTATTTGTCTTTATATAAAGAATTGTAATCGACAGAAATTGCAGAAAATCAATAGGGTTCTTCATCTAACTAATGTTAACAACAAATATAAATTTAAAAAAGTTTGGATAATAAAGTAGTCTGTAGAGAGTTCATAAGAATATGTGGACCACAGTAACCACATTTCCATGTGTGCACCTATTTTTTTTATTACATACGAATTTCAGTATTTTTTCGACATGTGATTTTTAATTTGTGGTCTGAATTCTGACCCCGTCAGCTTAAAAAATGAAAAGAGTTATGCCCCTTTAATTCGGGAAAAATGTCAAACAAGAAAATTTTGAAATCCCAACACTGGATTTTAAGATTACCTAAATTTGACTAGCGTTTACAGATACCAACAAATCTCAATAAATATTTAAAATATATATTTTTTTTAACTGTATTTTGCAGGGATTTATAAATATCTATTACTCTCTGCTCTCTCAGTCGGGATCATTATTGTTTGATCTAGCAGCTACACAGAACTACCAGCTGATTCAGCTAGTGTTATTTGTTATTCTTTTAAGGGAGTGCTGCCGTCCCCTCTCTAGTCCTGAATTACATCACCTTGGCAACATATATATCCCTGCCAAATTCTGTTGAAATCCATCAAAAGGTTTCAGAGAAGAAGCTGGTAGTCAGTGATGAGACAAGTGGTTTTGGCCGAATCATTTAGAATGGTTTTATTTTGCTTTAAAGGAGATCTTCAGATGTGACTTTACTAAATGCTGATGTTCCGTAGTAATTAAAATATTAAATATTATCATACCTGGTTTAATAACAAAGATTATCACCAAGAAAACAACAACACCAGCAACAAAATCACAGATAAATGCCACACCACCTTCCCAACTGCATTGTCGATCAGGTGCAGGTCCTTGGAAAAAATACATACAGGCATTAGATATATACAAACATGTCAACAGCGAGGCGGATGACTCCAACCTAAATCCCCAAAATAAATAAATAACGCACAGACATTGTGAGACACAAATGTATATATTATATACTGGGACATGGTATTTACCTAACGAACTACTGGGTCAAGGTATTTACCTAATGAACTACTGGGTCAAGGTATTTACCTAACGAACATCTACAGCAGGTTTAAACATTCTACCTCAATTAGAAGTGTCTCAAACAAACGAACAGCTTTTAATATGAATCCTGCATCTGTATGTCTATACTATAGCAAGAGCCTGATTTATGCTGGGGAGGGAAAGACTGCAGACAAAAAACTGACGTTTTATTTTCTGAAGTTATTCTTCCCCATCATAACCGACGAATTGAGGACTTATCTCATTTATACACCATCTATGTTTACATGTACGTAAAATGAGAAGTTTTCTTATGGGGAAAAAACCCAAATTCCCCTGTATATATCCAAAGCCGCCCCTTACTTTCAGACCACAAGTTATTCCGGGCATAGAATGACATGAAATGGGGTTTAATGTCCTACTTTTCTCCTCCGATCTGGGCTTATGAAGACGGTCCGGGCATAGAATATACCCCAAAGATCAAAGTGATTTACCGTTATAGGTTTATAACGTGCAATAAAACTAAACCAAAATAATATATTACACTTTTCAACTTTTCTCTACAGGAAAGTCTTCATAGTATTCAATATATCCATAATTTTTTTTAATTTTTTTAAGAAATCCTTTAAATTTTGGATATGATCTGTAAAATATTCATATCTATAACATATATACTCTTCAAAAACATTTCGGGATATTGAAATGCAAATACCTATGCAGGTTGTGATATGGACACTTGACATGCTTTGAGAATATGTTCACAGATCAAGAACTTATCGTCCCAACAGAACCACTGAGCTGCACCAGTTCGACACGCAATAGCGCCATACACGTGGGAGGGGTTGATTGTCAAATTTGACACTTCAAGGAAGGGTTGATGAAAACTGCCGCGTGCTGGTTTATCTTATCCATGTTTGCTTTTCTATCGGTTCATGCATAAGATTTACTGTTTAGCGTATCTTTGCTTTAGTGTGTTACGTTTAATTTGCAATGAGACGTCTTCAACATGATAAACATCTACATGCTAGTGGCATGCTTCAAATGGGTTCTACACAGCGAGCAGTAGCCAACATGCTTAATGTGTCACAGTCTGTGATCAGCAGACTGCGGAACCGGTACCAACAAATACACAATGATAATGATAGACCTCGTTCAGGTCGTCCTAGAGCCACTACACAAGCCTAGGATCGATACATTCGTACACTTGTACCAAGTTACAGGATTTTGAGTTACACCCCAAACAGTTAGAAATCGGCTACATGCAGCCCATTTGCATGGCGACGACCGCGTGTTGTGCCTCCATTCACTCGTCAGCACATGGCAAACAGGCGTCACTGGTGTAGGCAGCGTAGAAATTGGGGTAATCGTCGATGGGCGCGTGTAATGTTCTCAGGTGAGTCCAGATTTACTCTGGATTTCACTGATAGGCGTGCTCGCGTTTGGAGGCGTGTAAATGAGCGTCATGCTAACGTTAACGTCTGCCAGCATGACAGATTAGGGCGTGGGTCTGTTATGGTGTGGGGAGGAATCACCATGACTGGCAGAACGGACATGCATATTGATGAAGGAAGGGTCACCGGTGTGTACTACCCTGACCACTGATAGTTCTGCCCTTTGCTCAACGTGTAGGTAGACGTTTCATCTTTCAAGATGATAATGCCTGTGCCCACCTCGCTCATGTCGTGAATGACAACCTCCAGCGTCACCATATTGTCCATATGCCTTGGCCAGCCATGAGTCCTGACCTTTCCCCTATAGAGTATGTGTTGGACATGATCGGGAGATGTGTTCGTCGACATCAACGAACAACACTGCAAGAATTGGCTGTGGCACTGCAAGAGGAGTGGGTCAGATTGCCTCAAATCGTGATTGGACAGTTGATTAGGAGCATGCCACGACGAAGATTGGTGGAGCAATTAACCATTATTAAAACAAAAATCAACCAGCGGCTGCCAGGCAGGATACGCCCACATTTTCGAGAGATGGATAGAGAACAAGCTAAAAAGAAAGTGATTGTTCCTACATCAAGGGCCATTATTCATGAAGTTACAATTTGATATTCGCAAATATCGAAAGGAACCAAGATCTCTGGGTTATAAACATGCATTTCAAGTTTCATCAAAATCGGATTAACATTGTGACCTCTACAGGGTCCACAACCTTGATATACCATATTTTTACACCTTTCAAATACAAGGGGCGGCCATTTTGTCCGGCAGTTTTGGTTTGATTTTCAGGAAATTTGAACTCAACCTTTTTTATGCTGTTATGGTGATATATTTAAACAATTTTTAAAATCAGATAATAACTGTGACCTTCAGAGGGACCACAAGCTAAAAAAGGCGATTTTTCATATAATCTAGGGCCATATAGTTACGATCCGATATGCGAAAATATCGAAAGCAACCAAGATCTTTAGGTTATAAACAGGCATTTCAAGTTTCGTCAAAATCAAATTAAAATTGCAATCTCCGATTTTCACGAATTCAAACTCAACCTTCATTACAGTGTAACGGTGATATAATCAACCGTTTTTTTAAATCGGATAATAATTGTGACCTCCAGAGGGACAAGCTAAAAAAGGCGATTTTGCGTAAAATCAGGGGACATAATTCAGGAAGATACTATCCGATATGTGCAAATATCTAAAAGAACCATGATCTTTAGGTTATAAATATGCATTTCAAGTTTCATCAAAATCGAATTAAAATTGTGACTATACAGGGTACACAACCTTGATTTACCATATTTTTACACAATACGCGTACAACAGACGGCCATTTTGTACGCAATTTTGGTCCGATTTTCACGAAATTAGGGTGTAACGGTGATATAATAATACGTTTTTATAAATCGGATAAAAATTATGACTTCTATAGGGCCCACAAGCTAAAAATGCGATTTTTCGTACAATCAGGAGCCATAATTCAGGAAGTTACGGTCCGATATGTGCGAATATCGAAAAGAACTGAGATCTGTGGGTTATAAACTTACATTTCAAGTTTCTTCAAACTCGGATAAAAATTGTGACCTCCATAGGGTCCACAAGCTAAAAACGTGATTTTTCGTACAAACAGGGGCCATAATCCATGAAGTTTCGATCCGATGCATGCCAATATCGAAAGCAGCCGAGATCTTTTGGGGATAAACCTATATGTCAAGTTTCGTCAAAATTGGATAAGAATTGTGACCTGTAGAGTGTCCACAAACATGGACGGACAGACGTCCTGACGGACAGGGGCGACGACAATATACGTCCACATGAAAATGTGGGCGTATTAAAACGTCCATTTTCACTTTTGACAGTGTATCTCTTTGCGAGTGAAATGGGGCCATCAGATAAGGCACCCATATGAACTGTTTATGTTCATGTGTAGGCAATTGGCCTGTATTAACAAACACCGGTTACCTCTAATAAAAACAGCAGTGCATTTCCGCAGTTTTGTATTGTTTCTGAATATCACCTACTTTTTTTGAAGAGTATATTTCCTGGTCGGTCACTTTTATGAACACCTTTATATTTTGGATATGATCTGTATAATATTAATATCTATTTGAATACAGACCAAAAAACGTTCTTGTCACTGATTAGTAAGATCACACATCTAATAATATGTCGGGCGCTTGATTAAATTTGTTGATCATTTGTATTTTTTCTGACAAAAACACATTCAAACTTATTTGCTTCTAATCAAGAAGATAGGTTGCCATATAGATCAGAATATAATTTTTGTCGTTTGAGGGTTCACAAGGTTCTACAAACTGAAGCAAGGGCCTTAACGTTGGAAGTAATTTACAGAAAATTTTGAAATTTGATATAAATTTCATACAAATCGGATGATAATTTTGTCATTCAAACGTTCACAAGGTTCACAAAGTAAAACAAGGGCCTTAACTCTAGAAATAATTGACGGAAATTGCTATATTCAATAGACCTCCGTTTCACAAATTTAAATGATGCATATAAATTTCATACATATCTGATGATAATTTTCATCAATTGAGCATTAACAAGGTTGAACAAAGTGAAACAAGGACCATAACTCGACAAGTAATTATTGTAAATTGCTGAAATCCAATAGGCTTCGTGATTTCACTAATCTAAATTATGCATATAAATTTCATACAGATCGGCTGATAACTTTTGGCATTAGAGTGTTCACAAGGTTCAACAAAGTGAAACAAGGGCCATAACTCTAGAGGTTATAATTGGAAACTGCCGAGATTCGATAGGCTTCTTCGTTTCACTAATTTATTTAATGCATATAAATTTCACAAAGATTGGATGATAATTTTTGGCATAAGAACATTCAAAAGGTACAACAAGTGAAATGAAATGAAATGAAATGAAATGTGGATTAACGTCTTACTGTTATGTCCGAACTGGGCTAATGAAGACGGTACAACAAGTGAAACAAGGGCCATGACTCTAGATGTAATAAACTGAAATTGCTGAAATTCAATAGGATTCTTTTTTATACTAATTGAAATGACACATATAAATTTCATACAAATCGGCAGTTAACGTTATTTGTTAGAGCATTCACAAGGTGCAACAAAATGAAACAAGAGCCATAACTCTAGAAGTAATAAACGGAAATTGACGAAATTCAATAGGATTCTTCTTTTTAGTAATTTTACTAATTTAAATGACACATATCAATTTCATACAGATTGGCAGATAACTTTTGATGTTAGAGCATTCACAAGGTGCAACAAAATGAAACAAGGGCCATAACAGGCTTCTTCGTTTCACTAATTTAAATAATACATATAAAATTCACAAAGATCGGATGATAACTTTTGGTGTTAGAGCATTCACAAGGTTAAAAAAAGTGAA